GGTGGGGAGCGGGGAGGGGGGGCGTGCGGGGGCTATGGCGCCGGCACCGGCGGAGGATGTGGCGCGTGCGGTGGAGCTGGCGTTGAAAGGGGATTGTAGTGGCAGGGGGAGGAGGAAAGGAGCCCAGCTATTGAAGGCGCTTCAAGAACCCCTTCAAGAGAGGGAGAATTTAGACCCAAAATAGTAGAGGATCAACAAAATGTGGTTATTTCTCGTTTTATTCATAATTTAGCAAAATCCTACATGTTGAGTTATTTCTCGTTGTTTTTTTTTTTAAGCGTATGGAAATATTTGTAAACATGTTCAAGACCCTAGTTCAAATATCACAATTCAGTCGACACAAAAGGCAACACAACATATATACGTTTGTTGCCTTTTGGGCCTTTTCTTAACCACATCCTCTAGATTACTAATAAATATACAAGATTTTTTTTAGATTTTTTTCTCTTTTGGATCTTTCGTATTAAGATAGTGATAATATACTAAACTCATATATATTACACCGATACTAACACTCGAACTCAAAATCTTTTCTTGAAAGAAGCAATTGCTCCAAAGCCAATCTTGAAAGTAGCAATTGCTCCAAAACCAATGCACTAGTGCGTCATTTGCTCTTACATATTTTTATTAAATGTTGCATTTTATGCTTTGCACTTTATATTAGAAAAAAAAAAAAACATAACAAAATAGTTATCGGTCCCGTTGACCCGCCGAACAAGCCCCCTTGCCAACCCTACCAAAAAAGGGCCACCCCAAGTTGGTATAAATTGAATTATATTTCCAAATCGTAGCGTACAATTCAAGAAATTTATTTCTTCATTTCCCTTCAAAGCATTGCCCTTCCTCTTACAAGAAAACCCCTTCCTTCAAAAACCTCAAAAAGCCTTCTTTACACTTTGCAGAAAAAAAAGCCAGGACCAGATTTTAGACTTCATATTATGCACAGCTTTTGGTGGCTCCTTTGTGCTCTTCACCATGTCATCTGGGCTGCAACCATGTTGATCTCCATCCAAGCCATGCCGCCTGAACTCCCGGTTCGATGCAACAAAAATGGCTGCAACCTCTACAACTCCTATGGGGTATGGGGCGACAGAAAAGATTGCCATGTTCAGAATGTCACATACCCAACAACCGAAGAGGAGCTCCGGCTAGCTGTGGCTTATGCAAATCAGAACAAGCTCAAAGTCAAAGTTGTGAGCCAATTTTCTCACACCATCCCCAAGCTGGCCTGCCCTGCCACAAGCTCCGGGAATTCAATGCTAATAAGCACAGCCAAATACAATTCATCGATTGAAATTGACGCGAAGAATTTGGCTGTCACGGTTGATGCCGGCATAGGGCTGCGCCGATTGATCGACGCGGTGGAAGAAGCCGGCTTGAGCTTGGTGGCTGCGCCATATTGGGAGGGTGTGAGTGTAGGAGGGCTTGTAAGCACAGGGGCACATGGGAGCTCATGGTGGGGAAAAGGAGGAGCTGTGCATGATCATATTGTTGGGCTCAGCCTCATTGTTCCAGCAAAACAATCAGAAGGGTTTGCCAAGATTGTCAAGTTAGAACCAAAAGATCAAATCTTTAATGCTGCCAAAGTATCATTGGGACTATTAGGTGTCATTTCCAAGGTTAGTACCCTGCCTTCAATTGCTTTAATTGAATGTTATATATAAAAAATGTTAACGTGTCATCTAGATTCGCAGTATGACAACATACATATTTATTGGATAACATTAATATTTATCTTCTCGCAAATTTAATTCGTTATGTTATGTATGTATCCTAAAGTTATTGAAATAGACTACTTTGGAATTGGTCAATAGGTGAAGTTGTCGCTAGAGCCAAGATTCAAAAGGAGCATAGCTTACGACTTTACAGATGATGCTCAAATTGAGAACATATACATGGACCATGCTAAGAAATATGAGTTCGCAGATATAACTTGGTACCCATCAAAGCATACAGCTGCTTACAGATATGATAACAGAGTTCCCTTAAATGCCTCAGGCGATGGAACATATGATTTCCTAGGCTTCCAATCCAATTCTATTCTCATCTCCAAGAGTATTAGAGCAACAGGTATATTGCCACATTCGTTTATTTAATATTAATTTTTGTTATTTAGGTCACACATATTATGGTATGTTAGGACAAACTAATCATTCTTTTACTTGGTAAAAGAAGAAATATTAATTGCGTCTCTCATGCGAGATGGGTCCCAATTCCAAAAACATGTGGTCAAAAATGTGTATTAAATGTTACCGAATGTTACTATTAGTACCATCTCAACTAATCATCTAGTGCAATAGTTTTCTAATTGAGATGACACCCACTTCTGTAATTTCAATCTACACTTGGTACTTAATTGAGATGGTACAAGTAGTTTTGTTTATTGAAAACGTCACTAATAGTACGAGAATTTAAAAGATTAATTTAAAACTGTAAATCTGAAATGTGCAGAGAAAACCATGGATAATGGACGCAGCTTGGGTGGAAAATGCACAATGGCAGCTTCATTTTTAGGGGTGAAGAAATTAGTGGCTAATGGCTTGAAGAATGGCCTAATCTTTACTGGGTACCCAGTAATTGGTCCCCAGGGCAAAATGCAAACCTCAGGCTCATGCCTGTACTCAACAGCCGCAGACAACTCATGTGCATGGGACCCAAGAATCAATGGCCTCTTCTTCTATGAAACAACAGCAATATTTCCAGCATCAAAATTTGGAGACTTCATCAGAGACGTGAAGAAACTAAGAGACCTAAAACCAGACAACTTTTGTGGGGTTGATATATACAACGGGTTTTTGATACGTTTCATTAGGGCAACTGGGGCATATCTTGGTCAGCCTGAAGACTCCGTGGTCGTTGATTTTAATTACTTTCGTGCTGATGATGCTTTGACTCCAAGATTCAATCAAGATGTGTGGGAAGAAGTGGAGCAATTGGCTTTCTTCAAGTACGGGGCTAGGCCACATTGGGCTAAGAACAGGAACTTAGCCTTTTTGGATGTGCAGAAAAAATATCCTAATTTTAATAAATTTGTAGCTGTGAAAAGACAATTGGACCCTCAGAATTTGTTCTCAAGTGAGTGGTCTGATGAGGTTGTGTTTGGGAAAGAGGGTGTGAAGGGAGATGGGTGTGCTTTGGAGGGCCAATGCATTTGCTCTGAGGACAGGCATTGCAGCCCTGGAAAAGGGTACTTCTGTAAACCTGGCCTTGTTTATCAGGAGGCTAGAGTTTGTAGGTACTCATCATCACCACCATCACCATTCTCTGTGGGATCAGGTAGTGATAAGAATGATTTATGATTTGATGAATTAATTATTGTAGAAAAACATCATTGGTCATTTTGAATAATTAAAAGTTTCAGTGGTATTGATTTTGTAAATTAATAATTGTTTTCATTTTGAGAATCAATTATGGTTATTCTTTAGCTTGTTCTATATGATTTGGTATTTTGCCCAACTCTAATTGTTGGATACTTTTAATTTGGAATTTTCCAAATCAATTTAGTAAAAATGATGAATTCATATTATTTATCTACAAATGGGTTGGTATACGCAAATAATTTTAAATAATCGTCAACAGGGTCTAGTTTAGTGGAAAATAGTTTTATTAATTTGCATATTAGTAATCTTATATTTGAACCTCTATGGTACCTTGTACTATCTGTGTAAGAAACCCTTTTCTTCTTTGTAGTTTAGACTATCATTTATATTAAAAATAATATTTTTTTTTTGTCTACAACATTGTTTTATTATTCAATGAATTAAAATGGGATTTAAGCAACGAAGATATGGATATACGACAACAGCAAGAGGATCCAAAAGGGAACTGTGGACGCCATTGATCAGTCAACATCTCGATGTTTGCATGTCATGGCGTTGCTCGATGTATATGTCTGCCTTTGCTTTGGCCCTCATTTTTCTCATGATTTTTAGTCTCGCTGTGTGATCTAGAACATTACCATTTTAATCCAACTTTGGTTGTTTAAATAGTAACTTAATTATTACTAATAATAGTCTTATTATCTTAGCTGGTGATTAAGACTGATTGAAAGAGCAATTGTGCCTTCAAGTTCTGCATGGAAGATTACCAGATAGGAGCTCAGCAGCGTTGTCTTTGGATCAGAATATGACCAATTAAAAATATATTTTTTTTTTGGGTGAAAAACTTTGGACGTATCAATGTATATAAATATGGTTTCTAATTTTGGCAATAAACATGTTTTGAAGATACTTAAACAACCTTTTTAGAATTATGTTGTCTGTATATCTAATTGGGGTAAAAGCTTGTTCACAGTACTCTTTTGAGAGGGGGGCCATTTGGTTTGTTTGTGCTCAACAACAAATGAAAAGAAGATTAAATGTGACTATTTAAATAAAATATAAATTTGCATAGTACTCACTCGTGTAGAAGTTTTAGGGTATTGTTCCCTCAAGTAAGGTATTGGGTTCGAGTCCTAATAGTATATTATCGTCCTTGTCACATTGATCTTCACTCACATATAAATAGACCCGGCAAGATCTAAAGTTGTATATGTTTTGGAAATAGCTAGGCTTTTACGCGTTCCCCTACGTTCAAGCAACTCGATCTCTAATAATTCATTAACAAGTCTAATAACATCATGTGTTGTATAATATATTCTGATTAATTAATTCAAAATTGGGTTCAACCACTTTTTCCAATGCTCTCTTGCATCATACATTTTATAATCACTCCACCTTGCAATATACTCCTCCTAGAGGACCAATTTATATGCACGATGCTCACGGACTTGCTCAAGAGAGAGTATATATGTGGACTTGCTACTATCTCATGATTTCGGTTTAAGAATTAATGTTAAACTCGACTTACGTTATATAATAAACATGAGATGGCAGCAAGTCCAAATACAAACTCTCTTCTGAGCAAGTTCCATTAGCATTTCTCAACTCAAAATTGGATTGTCTTGTATGAATGATCGACTTGTATGATGAGTATTAATTAGTTAGTGGCAACATTAATTTATAGGTTAATTGGACTAGAGAGGATCATAATTTCGTTGTGCTTTTGTTTTGCCGTTTGGCTTTGATAACAGATGTTGCTACATTCTTGCTTGGCCATGGGTGATAACGATTGAGGTCTCTGTTTTGTGTGTCGGCAAACTATGCAGAATTACCAGTAAGTTTATATCCCACCTGAGCAATTATAAAAAAATCTATACAGAAAATAATGCTAAAATATTGAACTATTGCAATTAGAAACTAGGATATGCTCATCTGTGTCTGCTTGATATAGATGAGGGCAAATCTCAATCTCAATCTCAATTCACTCACATAATAGTGAAACCAAATGTCTTCTTTCACATGTGTTTTGGCACTATATTAAATTACAAGTTTTGAAGTTTATATCAATGAAAAAAGTTCATCAGTTACCCTCTGGATTTCTCAATGCTCAAACTACACACACATCGATCCAAAATACCATGCTAACTGTAGGCTAAGCCTTTGAAAACTAAAAGGCCATCTTGAGGTTGTAATATAACCTTGTTCTTATGACATGAACAAACAACAATATATTTCAAAATATTGAAAAAGAAAAAGAAAACAAGCCAAATACACCTGCAGCAGGTCAAGACATAGGTATATACAGGCCTTGACCTTCACCCAGCAAGATTATATTTCGGAGTCGTCAGAGCTTTGGAGTCTCTTACTAATATCAGCTTAGCTTGCACCAAAATATGCCTAGCTCTCAGATCCTCCAAGAACCTTATTTTTGCACTGGCTGGGGAGATCTTCGCCTGTCAAAATTGAATAAATTAACCCCACTGGATGAATTTGTAAATATATGCAACAACTTATAGGCGGCAGCTAAGTCAAGAGGTTGGTTTGTTGAAAACAGTTCAGATATTAAGAGGTTATAATTAAAGTACTATCAGTATAGATATCACGAACCTCATCAAATTCAAGGTGTCTGCTTCCTGTTCCTCCGTCGCTTGTTCCGGTCCCCACTTTGATTAATCCGCTTCCTAACGCTCAGGTCTTCACCCCTTATCATGTATTCGTTTCCAGCTTCTGGCAGGCTAAAATCTGCAGGGTTTCTATTAATTGAGCACATTAAAGACATGGAACTGCTCTTTGGAGGGTTCATGGCCCCATTACCATTGTTAGCTTCCAATTTTTTTAGCATTGGATATTCAATGGTGTGGCAGTTCTGGGGAAACATCATAGGATCAGACACCGTTAGAAATCCTTTCTGCATAACAGGGATAGTTCCACAGTTTTTGCCCAAACCACCACCTGTACATGCAGCTTTTCGGGATCCAGGACCTCTATTCTGTGCAGGTGCGTTGGAGTTTTGTATCTTTTCTTTCCTTTGACAACTCAAGGAACCTTGACCCGTAAATTCTGTAGCCCTTCTGAAACCTTTAGAATGTTGAAATGAAGAAGTAGATGCCCCGCCAGGATTCATAGGAAATAGATCAAGCGATTTCTCAGAATGGTGATTTGTGCCACAACAATTTGATGAGGGAAGCTTCACAGTATCAGTAGCCTTATAACCACCAATGTCCAGCGCAGAATACTCCTTAGAGTAAAGATCATTAGGAAAGGGTCTCTTGAGAAATTTCGGGTTTCCACCCATGTTGAAGTGCGCACCTGACCGCATACCAGCATCCATGAGGCTGAGCAAATGCATTGCTGGTATAGTTTCATTAGAATATAGATCAAATGACCCCATTGCATTTTGATGAGGCTCAGACCCATGACGTTTGCAAGAGAATGAGTACTCTGCATTTGATCTGCTGAAGCTCCCAGAACCAACTTCTTCAGTATGCTTTTCCCGGTTGGTAGATTTTAGATTAAACAAATTCAGGTCATAATCCCCATTTACGTTTCCCTTATGCAGTGAGCCAGGAGGACGTAAAAGCATATCGACATTAGAAGGCTGAGCTGGACACTTTTGAGGATTGCTGTATGTTAAGGGCAAGTGAACTGGCATTCCAGATGACCAAAGACGAGCTGCTTCTTCCTTTGGGTGTGGAATAGACTGGCATGCGTTAGATGTTGCTAACGTCCGCAAGCTAGAATGTGAGAACCCAGGGCCCATCATATCCCCATTCCATTTGCAATTTTGAGCACAACTACAGCTGCTGTAACCAGCTGCAGGAAATTGGTCTCGAGTTGACTTCTTTTGAGCCTGACTGAGTGCACTAAACCCTGTAGGGCAATGCATTTGATCAAGACGGCTCACACCAAAATCTTTTCCATTCATATAAGTAGAATAATCAACTGACTTCTGTTTGGCAGGTCCTGCATTTTTCCTTGTGGTTATGCCATTTTTTGCATTTCTTGCCTGAGGCTTTCGTTTCTGACTGGTTTCTTCTGATATTCTTAAGTCCCCAATCCCATAACTATGATCCATCACCTGAGCTTTCCTTGCTTTATTGGGGTTTTCTAAAATATTCTTTTTATGTTCAGCATCATGAAGACACCTCTCATACTGATTTTTCGCCATGAGTTCAACGATTTCCATCGGTATGTCATCCACAGCTGCCTGCTGAGACATCTTGTCAGATTTATGGTTGCTATGTGTCCTATTAACAGGCACAGCTGAACTTTTCTGAACCCCAACAATTTTCTCCTTGTTTCTTGAACGGGAAATATCCTGAGAAGGGAAAATGAATCATCATAGAAACAAATTGCAAAAGAAAACTAGATAGAGAAGATAGTTGTGCATATTAATGTTCAAAAATTTACCACAAAGATGAGAAATGTGCAATATGATTCTATGGGCTACCGTTGGCATATCATCAGATATAAAGGAGAATTCTAAACATGCTTCAATTAGGCAGCTACAGGCTAGGATAGGAAGAAAATATTATTTAAGACATAAAATCACCAATCAACAGTGTTTAAATACAAAAATTCTATGGACTAGTTTCTTGTACGGTAATAATTGTGTCAGTAATTATTTGATACAGATGAGTGACTGAGGATAACACAACAATTTTATAATGGCATAGTTACATGTGGTAAACCTTAGAAACAGAAGAAGCATACATTGCTCTGGACATGTATTATGCAGCTATCATAATGAAAACATTCATCCCAACAACCGTAAGAAGAGAAAAGCTCTTACCATTTGCTGCAAAGAACAACTCCCTTGTTCAATCTGGGAGGTATAGTTTTTCTCCTCATTCAGGATAGGCATGGTATAAGTGTAAAATTTACTACTAAGTTCACCATGTCCTCCTTTCCCAGAAAATGCATTTGAAATAGATTTAGAAGGTTTCAGATTTGCAGCATAGTTAGCTTCCACATTTTTCCTCATAAACACATCTAATTTGCAGCTGCCATCTTTCCAAGTGGACAAGGAAGGAAATCCATCTT